ACACAGACACACAGACACACAGACACAGACACACAGACACACAGACACAGACACACAGACACACAGACACAGACCACACACACACTTAACCCTTTGAAATCCTCACGTTGGACTAAAACTTACTGGCTTTGCTCACACAGGGTATAACATCTTCCCAAATGTGACCCTGGAGCACAAAAGCAGTCTTAAGTCACTGGGGTATATTTGTAGCAACAGCCAACAATACATTGTATGGGTAAAAAATATCCATTTTTCTTTTATGCTAAAAATCATTAGGATATTAAGTAAAGATAATGTTCCATGAAGATATTTTGTAAATTTCGTATTGTATAGGCCTATATATTAAAACTTAATTTTTGATTAGTAATTACCCTTATGACTGGTTTTGTGCTCCAGGGTCACAAATGTTTCATGATAACTTTTGTACTTTTTTAAAGCTGTTTTTCCCCTCCTTCTTATACTCGTGGTGTTCAAAAATTACCAAATTGCTTGTAAATCTCTCATTATGCTATATTATTATCAAATACTGGATTCAATCTTGTTTTCTATCGATTAGCATGGGTTTTGTGTTTCTTTCTGGAACTGGTTGATCTGAGGTTTAACTAATATCTGAGTTTATGCATTTCGGTTTTTGAGTGAAAGTTGCCAAAATTATCCGAAATAATGTTTTTTCACTCAAAAACGGATGTGCATGAGATCAGATCAATGAAGCAATGAGAGATTTACAAGCGATTCTTAAAATCTTGGTCACTTCTGGGTCAAACCCGCTCCGAGGCAGATCTCCTCACCTGAACGCGGAACTTCCACGTAGTTCCGACGGGAACGCCGGGAACGGGGCCGTAGTGATTGGAGGGGACGATTGTGCACTCTTTAGTGCGGCCCACACACGCCATACCCTAAAACACACACAACACACACACTTAACCAGAGCTGACCAACAATAATGAACAAAGTCTCTATCTGACTACCTATATTACACAAACTGATGTTTTTTCCTCAGTACCTGTCTGACTGTTATCACTTTGCTTATTTAAACGGGGAATCATCTCAGTTAACACCAGTAAAATATGGAGTGCCTCAAAGATCTGTCTTAGGCCCTCTGCTATTTTCAATATACATGTTGCCCCTTGGTAATATTATTAGAAAATACGGGATTATAAATATCAAAGAAAAGAGTCCATAATAAATGAGAGCACATGTGACTGATTTCAGATGCAGATTAGCATCTTTATGTAATGAAGGGGGTGGGACGCTTCAGATTCTAGAGGGCATTTGATTGGACGAGCTGAAATGTGGAATGATGTCATTAAAACTGTCAATGTTTACATTTTGAATGCATACATCTAATAAATAGAAATTTTATATTTAGCACAATAGCATATAGATGAGCTTAAGGCAGTGTTATTATTGTTAACAAAAACTAAAAACTTTTACTTTATTTGAAATAAAAATAAATAAAACAAATACATGATTGAAAATTAAACTAAAATGTTTTAAAAACTAAAATTACTAAAGCTAAAATTAAAATAAATCAAAACTAAAATGAAATAAACTAAATGACAAAAACAACAAAATTAGTAAAATTATATTAAAATAAAAACTCAATATTTAACCTCTTAATTGGCAAGTTTTGTAAGATAAACGAGTATATGTGTGTATTTATTAGGGTTTGCTTTAGTCTATAGTTATAATTAACTTTATAATACATAGTACATAAATACAAGTCTGTAATGTGTGTTCACATGATGAAAAGCTAATAATTAAATAATAAAAAATGTCAAATTAAAATACAGCAAAATAAAACACTTACTAAAAATGCATTAAATTATAAAAATGTCAATTTTTTAAAAACTACGATCATGTAACCGAATAGTATAAACACTCCGGTAAAACTCGTTCCTGAGCATTTACATTCATTGAGAGATGAGTGTTTGTTTCATCACAATTACAGTCTCTCTCGTGTCTCAATATCCCTCCTGTCGTTACATTAGTGAAGTCGTTTGGTGAATTATACAGTCGTTCGGAGCGTCATGTGTGTCCGCTCACACTCGTACCTGCTTTCCCACAATGCCTCAGCGCTCGTAAACGCTGCTCAGTGGGACTCTGGCCTTCAGCTGCGTTCTCTTTGAGTAAATGAGCGTCTAGAGCGCTTTTACACAAACAGGCCTTTGATCTGCAGATGAAGCTCATGTTCTTTGAGTTTTACAGCCGTTATTAATGAAGACACGCATCACAAAACCATCACCCTCCATTCAACAGGCTGCTAAAGCACACACACACACACACACACACACACACACACACACACACACACACACACACACACAAGAGAGAGAGAGAGAGAGAGAGAGAGAGAGAGAGAGATAGAGTGTGTGTGTGTGTGTGTGCGCGCGTGTGTGTGTGTGTGTCTGTGTGTGTGTTCATACCTTGCCCCAGTCTCTCTGGCTCTCTGTAGTCGCTGACGGCATCTTAGATTTCTTCTTGCTGGTTCTGAGTTTCTCTCCAGCTTTGACCACCTCGCTGCTGTCGTTCTTACAGGTGGGACAGTACCTGCACAGACACAGTCTCACGCCTCTGTCACGTGATCATCAGTTTTTTTTCAAACCTTTGCTTCTTTTGTACAAAACTTTACACACAAATCCAAGAACTGCACACAAAAAATGTAAAAAGCCTCACATCTCTTGCAAAATGAAGCACTGCGTTCAAAATATCACAAACACATCTCAAAAGCAAACATTTGCAAACACCTTTGCCATAATATTAATTCCTGTTAGATTTGTGTGTGTTACACAGAGAATTGTGTGTTGTGTTTTACAAAAAGTGCTTTATGAAATTGAAAGGCTGAGAATTAGTGTATGGTTTTGTAGATTTGGTGCATGCTTCTGCTGTTTGAGTGTCAGCTTTCAGAAACTGTGTGACAAGGAAAGATTTTGTGTGTAAGCAGATGAAAAAAACTAGGGATGCACCGAAATAAAAATTCTTGGCCGAAGCCGAACAAAATGAAACACTGGGCCGAAGGCCGAATACCGAACAGTTTTTTTTTTTCAGTTTGTTTCCCATGTATTTTGCCAATTGTTTTCACCATTGCATAAATTAAATAGCCAAAATGTGCTTTTTACCGTTTTGTCTTGGTTTTCGAAGAAAAGCTCAATTGCATAACAATTTAAAAAATATTTACTTAACAATGAACATTTTTTAACATTCTAGCAGACATTATACCAACAAAGCAAAATTTAACTTAAAATTAATAAGTTAGTAAAATCATATTTTTTGGCCATTTTTGAGACCCACTTCTTGAATAAATGCAGCCTTCCTGAGCAGAAGAGACTTCTTTTAAAACATTAGAAAATATTACAGATCCCAATTTGAACACTATGTGTGAATGCTATAATAGAGCTGTTGTAATTATTATTATCATTATTATTGTCTTACTTTTTTATTTTATTTCACAGAACAACAGTAAAATTATAATACTGTCATTTATGAATGTTGAAGGAGTTCTTGCTTTTTCTCAGCTTTTATTTTGGCAGAAACCCGCAGGAAGACCTCAGTGCTTCTTTTTGTTGACAACAGCAGGTTTATAAATGATTCTCACTAAGAATTTGGGAAGATGTTTGTCGCACGTATTGCATTGTCACATGTCTTGTAAAAATTCATAAAAAATGTGACTGAGCATCTGATGAGTAACGCGTCTCGTCATTATTCAGTACAATTTATTCGGTCTATTCACTTATTCAGAGCTTTTTTTGCTATATTCGGCCGAATAATTAGGGTCGCCGAACATTGGGTGCATCCCTGAGTGCAGTGTAAAGCGCGCCTCACCAGTCCTCGTCCTCGGGGATGGAGGTCAGCGGCGGGGTCAAGCAGTAGATGTGGAAGGCCATGTTACACTCGTCACACAGCAGCTGCATGTGAGCGTCCTGCTTCCCTCCACACACACAACACGAGCAGAAACGACACTCAGCATCCGGATCCGCTTTACAGTGCTTACACTCCGGACCCGACTTACCTGCACACACACACACGTTACACATGAACCGAACTCGCACTTCGGTGAATGTGGGTGTGTGTGTGTGTATCTGTGAGTGTGTGTTAAAGAGTCTGTGTGTGTGTGTGTGTGAGTGTGTGTGCATGTGTGTGTGTATCTGTGAGTGTGTGTTAAAGAGTCTGTGTGTGTGTGTGAGAGTGTGTGTGTGTGCATGTGTGTGTGTGTATCTGTGAGTGTGTGTTAAAGAGTCTGTGCCTGTGAGAGTGTGTGTGTTAAAGAGTCTGTGTGTGTGTGTGTGTTTGTGAGTGCATGTGTATCTGTGAGTGTGTGTTAAAGAGTCTGTGTGTGTGTGTGTGTGTGTGTGTGTGTGCATGTGTGTGTGTGTATCTGTGAGTGTGTGTTAAAGAGTCTGTGTGTGTGTGTGTGTGTGTGTGTGTGTGCATGTGTGTGTGTGTATCTGTGAGTGTGTGTTAAAGAGTCTGTGTGTGTGTGTGTGTGTGTGTGTGTGTGCATGTGTGTGTGTGTATCTGTGAGTGTGTGTTAAAGAGTCTGTGCCTGTGAGAGTGTGTGTGTTAAAGAGTCTGTGTGTGTGTCTTCCCTCCACACACACAACACGAGCAGAAACGACACTCAGCATCCGGATCCGCTTTACAGTGCTTACACTCCGGACCCGACTTACCTGCACACACACACACGTTACACATGAACCGAACTCGCACTTCGGTGAATGTGGGTGTGTGTGTGTGTATCTGTGAGTGTGTGTTAAAGAGTCTGTGTGTGTGTGTGTGTGAGTGTGTGTGCATGTGTGTGTGTATCTGTGAGTGTGTGTTAAAGAGTCTGTGTCTGTGAGAGTGTGTGTGTGTGTGTGTGTGTGTGTGTGTGTGTGTGTGTGAGTGTGTGTGTG